TGAATCTGGAGGGACCCAGTATGCCAAGAGCCCTTGAGGGTGGGGACTGCGTTTTATTTTCTTTGTGCCTCAGGGCTGGGACCATGGCCCACTGGAGATGTGCTGCAAATATTTGTTCCTTTCTCTTCCATCACCTTCCCAGCTAGGATCCTGAAACATTCTAGGCAGATAGAAATCAGTCCTATTTTTAAAGTTCTTCCAAGAAGAGAATCTGTGACAGCAGAAACAGTACTTCTCAATCTAGAGAGTTCTTCTTAATATGTAATCAAAACCCCTCCAATTTCAGGATAAACTCTGTAGTATTAGGATAGCAGAAATGAGAAAAGTAGACTCCAGAAATCTCATTATTGCTATAAAGTTTTGAACCAGCACAGCCTTCTTGCTGCTGTCTACTACTAGAGGCACACCCAAAGGAGAGAGATACCAAGGAGTGAGCCGAACCGTGTAAGCACTAACATTGGACCAGAGCCCTCCCCTCCTGGATGGGATTACTCCTTATCAAGTCCTTTGCAGGGCTAGAGGCTCAGTCCCTCAACTCCAACTCCATCATTTAGAGTGTTTAAGTTAGACTCAAAGAAGAACATCCTGCAGCGAATAGTCCTAAAGCTTGAAATTGAACGGCTGAGGGAGGTTGTGAAATCTTTTCCTTGCGGATCTTTTAAAAGGTGTTCTAGATACAGTCCTTCTCAGAGGCAGGGCACGGACCAGCTGGCTGGTCCCTCCCAACTCTGGGATTCCAAGAAAGCCAGAGGACTTTTCTCCTTTTAAGGGTTTTCCTCTTTCATCTGAAGGTGATTGGTGGGGGAATCAGGTGTCACCAGGCCACAGCAGCGGTGGGTGAGGCTGCTCCACCCACTGAATCAAGGGAGGCTTCCAGGAGGGGAACGGCTTTGAGATGCCTCATGAAAGAAGCCTGGGAGGAGGCTTGGGGTTGGCTGATAGGTGGGTGTGGGAGGAAGGCACTCTGTGGGGGCTGGCTGGCAGGGTATGCTTAGTCTGAAGAGGCAGAATTCACCCCAGCTTCATAAGAGTCCTTTTCTGGAGGCCATGCCTGCCAGCTCTTCTTACCTGCTACAAGGGATGGGGTAGTTGCTGGCAGCCAGTCAAATCCCACCTTCACCAGGAATAGGGAGAAATACTGCAGCAGGAAGGCTTTAAGCTAGACCAGAGAACTGGATAAGATGTGAGATGAGTGACTGAGGGGGTTCATGGGATCCCTTTCTTTTAAGGCCCTTTAAAAATGAAGCGGTTCTTCTGCTTCTAGGGCCCCCTCAGCCACAGTGGTGGATATGACAGCTTTTGGGGGCTTTGTGTCAGTTTGTACATGACACATAGGCTCTGCGGGCCATCAGGAAATGCTCTTTTGTGGAACCCGTGCAACTGGATTTGGGGTTGGAGAGAGGCTGGACCCCAGCACTTGGGGTTGAGGGTAGCTAGCCCCTTTGATGGGCACAATTGGCAGAGCTGGAGTGAGGAGTTTGGGTGAGCTCTGGGGCCAATCACTTTCCCATGGATGGTTCTCAGGGCTACCCCAGACCTCAGTGCTCCAGAGGGTAGAAATCCTCACCTCTGTAGTTCAGCCCTGGGGCTGGTGGGCACAGGGTAGAGGTGCGAGGGCTGGAGCCAGCCCTGGAAGGACAGTTGTTTCTTTGGCTTCTTCCCCTGAGGTCTTTTCAGCCCTTGGATTCTAGGGATGCCCAGGAGACTCTACAGTCCACCGGGAATTTGGAAGGAGCAGCCCCCCCATGAGAGGGATGGGTCTGAGCCCCCTGCCCAGAAGGGTCAAAAGACCAGTCAACCAGCATCGACTGAGACTTCAACCAAATAAATATCCGCCGAGTCAAATCAAATGTTACCTCTGTCTGGCTGGGGAGGATGCTTCTTCGTGTGGGAAGTGAGCTGCGCTCAGCCTGGCTGGAGGGACAGGTCTCTCTCAGCAGCTCCTGGACTCTCCCTCCTCTGGGCAGCCCAAGCCCCTCATACATATTTGTCTCATTTACTGTTCATACTCAATTTAAATGATTGACTCACTGGTCTGTTTTCCCACTGGACCTTGAGCTCCCAACAGCAAGATGTGGGACTCATTCATGTCTATGGAATCTGCCCCTTGTTTAGAGCCTGGCACTTGGTAGGATGCTTGAGAAATCTGTGTGAATGAGTGAATAATCAACAACATTGAGGGTCAGAGCTAAATGCCTGAGTAGGACAGACAGGGATGTTACAGGGGTTCAGAGGAGGGAGCGATCGCTGTGTGCTGGGTCAGACAGAAAGCCTCGTGGAAGAGGTAAATTTGCCTTGTCTTCCATTGCCTTGAAATCCCTTGACTTGCTCTCCTCCCTCAGGACAACTGAGAGTGGCACTCTCCAGCATCCATCTTTCTATTCTCCCTCCTACAATCTATTCATCTACCTCAACTGCCCACCAGTCCTCCACAGTGTGCCGGAGCTGGCTCACACAGGCTCGGGAGAGCCGATCGTGTGCATCTCTTTCCAGCACACCTCACATTGGTAGCTTGAAACTAGCCAGGGTGGGAGAAATTGGCAAACACTACAAACCAGTGCTTTTTCACCCTGAAAGAGCCAGTTGCTAAACTTTTATCAGCACACTCACCTACCTACTACCTGTCTGTCTCCTTCCTTCCTTTCTCTTCCCTTCTCTTCCCTCTCTCCTTCCCACTTATCTTCCTTCCTCCCATTTCCCCTTCCTTTTAAAAGTTATTTTATCCAATTCACCAGCTACCTACCCATCCATCCATCCCTCCATCCTTCCATCCATCCATCACACCTCCACTCCCTCATCCATCATCCATACATCTACTATCCATCCATTCATCCATTTTCCCATTTGGATCCACCTAACTTTTATTTCTTCCACACATCTACTCACCCATCCATCCCTCCGTCCATCCACAAAGGTTTTCTGAGCATCTGCTCTGTGTCGGCCTATTCCCAAGGCTCAGAATCTTTCCCTAGACTTCTGGAAGACAGGTGCACGTACTCCAAGGACTAGCAGAGGCCTCCCAGTGCAGCTGGCTCAGCCAACATTGATGTTGGGTCCATAACACGTGCCCTTTAGTTTTCCTCTTCTGCTTTTTCTTGCCCTCCCTGCTCTTTTCTCCTCATCGCCTGTTCTCGCGAGTTGGGGGAGACACTGTCAGGGGAAGAGGGAGGGGGACGTCCCCATCCTGCAGACCAGGACAGTACTTCTCTTTCTCTTCCTCTTTCTCTACGCTTCAGGCAAGAACCCAGAGGAATTGAGCCTGACTTTTTGAGAAAATGTTCCCCACCTCAGAAGGCCCCATGAGCTCTTAGCCAACTTACCAGTGAGTTCCAACAGGAGGGGCCTCCTGTGGGGCCTGAGAACAGAGACATCAGGTAAGAGGCAGTCCCCATCAGAAAGCCAGCACTCTCCACCCCACACCTCCTCTTAAAACTCTGGCTGCTTTGTGAACCAAGCTCATCTCTGCTCTTGTTCCCAGGGGCTGTTATTGCAAAGGATTAGCTATTCAGGCTGGTGAGCCAAAGGGGCGGGGGATCCCGGATCCTGACCTGGATTTGAGTGGAAAGAAGGGAGACCCACTCCCCTACGTGCAGCCCAGAACCTGCCACCCGAGCCATACCCACCTTCTGCTCTGCCCCGTCCAGCACAGCCTGGAGAGGCACAGCCCTTTACTCGATGGGAGTGTTGGCTTCCTAGGACGATGGCAGTGAGTTGCAGCCCAGAAGTGACCAGGTGGCATGTCCTGGCAAGAGCTGAAGGTCCCCAGTGTTCCCACAGGTGGTCAGAGAGAGGAAGTTTCTCTCACTTTTCTCCCTGAGGTCTCTATTTACATGATAGTCGTACTCAGACGGCTCACTTCTGAGATTTTCTGAGTTCCATACCTCACTGGCCTCTTTTTGGAGGGTATGGCCTGTGGCTGGGCCCAGAGAGGGTGAGCAGATTTTTTCCTGAGTCACACAGCAAACCTACTGTGGAGACAGATGAAAGTCAAGTGTTTGGGCCCCGAGGACCCGGCCACCTGGCCTGGCATTGCTTGCATTCCCTCATTCCTGTTTCTCTGTCCTTCGGATCCAAGCAGGTTCTGACCTGCTCTGACAGTGATCATGTAAGGTCTGTGTGCATCTGTGAGAGCCGCTGGGGCAGGCACGGTGTTCACAAGCTGTCTTTCCATGAGATATTCAGGTGGATCCATGGCACCCTAGCTGAAGAAGGAACTTGAGCACCCCAAGGCCTTGGGTTCAAATCTCAGCTCTGCCACTTGACTTAGGCCTGTGAGTTATCTTCTTAGAGCATCAGTTTCTCATCTGTTAAATAGGGGTACTTGAATAGGCTGTCATGAAGAGTAAATGAGCTCATATAGGTAATGTACCTAGGACAGTGCCTGGAAGATGGCTAGTAGGGTTCAGTAATAATAATCAGTAATAGGGTTCAGTAATAATAATCAGTAGCCACTTCACTCCAAATCCTAAAATCCAAATCAGACCAAACCCATCCTTCCCCTTAAGGTGAGAAGCAACTCCACTGTCCCAGGGCGAGGGATCTCTCCTCAGAAACCGAGGCCCACAAACTACAAGGCTATTTGGCTTGTGTGACCCAATTAATGGCCCTCTGTCCCATGGGCCTCTGCGGACACCTCACCTTCGGTGCCCCAGGGGCCACTGGGCTCAGCGAAGCCTGCCCACCTGCGAGGACAGAGGCTTCCCACTGATGAGAGGAAAGTGCGTCAGAGGGAAGCAGCCCAACTGGTTGCTGAGCTGTGGAAAATAATTAAACTGGAGGAGAGAAAAAACACTTCTTTAAAAAATCAGGTTAGGTCTGAATGTTCAGGGCGTGGCCCCCCTGTATAATTAGCCGCTCTGCTGGCTCTGGAGCCGCCTGCTTCTCCCTGGGCCCGTTGTGTCAGGCTGGCGCTGGCTGCCCCTCCTCTCCACTCCTCCTCCACCTCCTCCTCCTCCTCCTCCTCCTCCTCCCTGCTCCCTATAGGTGTGTCTCAGGGCTCTGTGGCTGCCTGTCCCACTCCCTGCTGAGACGCCCGCCTGAGAGGTCACCCACCCCGCAGTCCCAGGGAGCCCGAAACAGAACAGCCAAGTGAGCCGCGATGGAAGCCGCAGATGCCTCCAGGAGCAATGCGGCCACCTCAGAAGCCAGGGATGCCCGAAGCCCACAGGGCCCCACCGGCGGCCTGGAGAATGGAGCCAAGGCTGACGGCAAAGATGCCAAGACCATCAATGGGCACGGTGGGGAGATGGCCGAGGGCAAGAGCCCGGGCAGTGGCCTGAAGCCAGGTGAGGGGAAGAGCTCCCTGTTCTTGGGGAGTGAGTGGCGGCGGCCCATCATCCACTTTGTCGAGTCCGTGGATGACAAGGGCTCCAACTACTTCAGCATGGACTCTGGGGAAGGCAGGCGGTCACCCTATGCTGGGCTCCAGCTGGGGGCGGCCAAGAAGTCGCCCGTCACCTTTGCAGAGAAGGGGGAGCTGCGCAAGTCCATCTTCTCAGAGCCGCGGAAGCCTGCGGTGTCTATCATGGAGCCCGGGGAGGTCCGGAGGAACAGCTACCCCCGGGCTGACCCGGGCAGCCTCCTGCGCTCCAAGTCGGGCTCTGAGGAGGTCCTGTGTGACTCGTGCATCGGCAACAAGCAGAAGGCAGTCAAGTCCTGCCTGGTGTGCCAAGCCTCCTTCTGCGAGCTGCACCTCAAGCCCCACCTGGAGGGCGCCGCCTTCCGCGACCACCAGCTGCTCGAGCCCATCCGTGACTTCGAGGCGCGCAAATGCCCCCTGCATGGCAAGACCATGGAGCTCTTCTGCCAGACGGACCAGACCTGCATCTGCTACCTCTGCATGTTCCAGGAGCACAAGAATCACAGCACCGTGACGGTGGAAGAGGCCAAGGCAGAGAAGGAGGTAACTTGCTGGGCCACCTTGCTGCCCCTCCAGGCCTCTCCTCCCTCCGCCCTTATCCTCTCCACTGAGGCTTCCTAGGGTTTGGGGCTTAAGTGTCTGCCAACCCTGGTTCTTTTAGAAAACATTTCTTTTCCCTCCACACCCCCAGGCTAGGGGTCAGAGGCAGTTTCCCCACTCTCTAAGAACTCAGGAGACGGGGCATTTCCTAGATGAGCAAATAGAGGATCAGAAGAGATGGAGGCTTGACAAAGGCCATAGGATAAATCCAAGTCAGATCAGAGAATCAGAACTCAGTCCTGAGCCCTGTGCCTGGCTGGAGTGTTTCTTCTTTTTTCTATTTAAAGGAGAAAGGATTCTTCCCACCTGAGCAGGACTGGCCCCTGGGGAATGGGTCACAGGCGAGGAGGAGGGCATTTTGGGGACTACTTCAATGTCTTTTTTTTTCTGGCTTCAGAGTTTGCATTTGCAGTTCAGTGGCTTCTTGTTGTCCTGTCTTATCTCCCAGCCAGCCTCTTGACACCCCCAGTGGCCTCCTCTGTCCTTCTCTCAGCTGGGCTTTGAGTGTGTGATTGCATGTGGACGTGCCTGTGCCTGGACACTACTGGTGAGAGTTAGGGTTTGTGTGTGAGTGGGGTGTACATATATATGTGTTTGTGTATTTTATATACACATGGGTGTTTATGTGCGTATGTGAATGGTTGCATATATTTGTGTATGGGGTACGTAAGTGACTTGGCATGAGTTGTGTATATGTGATCATGTCTGTACCTTTATGGGAGGAGCAGAGGTGTGTGGAGGCTTGTGAGTGTGGCGTTCTGGGCTAAAGGCTTGGCTGTGGCTGCCGCCCCTTGCCCCACAGATGCTGGGTCCACTGTCACCCACAGCAACACGGCTCCCTGCCATGGGCGGCCTCCCGCTGGGGTGAGCCTTCCTGGTGGTCAGTACAGGGATTCGACCTTCCTCAAGAGCTTCTGCAGCCTTGGAATGGGGCAGCCAGGGCTCCCTCCCTGTCCCACCTTCCTGACCAGGAGTTTATGGATTACTCTCTCCATTCACCCCTCACCCACACCCCTGGTCAAAGAGGGCCAAGTTAGAGATGGGAATAGACTCAAAGCTCCTTTTATTTTATTTATTTATTTATTTTTTTGTGAGGATATCCGCCCTGGGCTAACATCTGCCAATCCTCCTCTTTTTGCTGAGGAAGACTGGCCCTGGGCTGACAGCCGTGCCCATCTTCCTCCACTTTATATGGGACGCTGCCACAGCATGGCTTGACAAGCTGTGTGTCAGTGCGTGCCCGGATCTGAACCGGCGAACCCCGGGCCGCCGCAGCGGAGCGTGTGAGCTTAACCACTTGCGCCACCGGGCAGGCCCCTCAAAGCTCCGTTTAGAAGCCTCACTTTGGTCCAGGAAGGAGGCGTTCCCCATTCCCTCACTCTCCGATCCCAGCCTGGCTTCAAGCTTCAGACTGGGAGATGGAGATGGGGCAGGGGCCATGGAAGCATCCTCCAGGAGCTTACTTGGGAAATCAAAATGGAACAAGGGGCAATCACCTCCCTCCACAGCAACCAAGACCCGCAGAGCCTTGGCCTGGGTTCCAGGAGACCTGGCCGAGTTCCAGTCTGGGTCTTTACCTCTAACTAGCTGTAAGACTGTGGACAAGTCCCTCCATCCTCTCAGTCTCGGTTTCCCTCTATGTGAAACCAAGGGGTTGGACTAGTTTGGTGGTTTTAAACTACCCCATGGAGTCCTAGAATGCTTGGAAATGTCTTTGAGGCCTCAGGGATGAGGAGGGGGGAAAATTGGTACCAAGAAAGCAGGGGATCCAGGTTCCCACCCCTACTACAAGCAGCACACACTCTATTTTACTTGTAGGGTTTGGCCCCAAATTTCGTCTGAAAGGTATCACCACTTAAGAAAAGCCTGAGTGCCCCTGGGGGTCAGGAGGGTCTCAGGCAGCCCTCTCTGGAGGCACTGGACCTTGGAGTTCACGCTCTGGTCCTGGGGGCCACTGTTGCATTCAAAGACACAGTCCTCGCCCTTGAGGGCTCGCAATGTAGGTCAGGAGGCAGAGCTCAGACACACGAACAAGCCTGGGGAGCAGCCGCCCGGTTACACAGCAGCAGCTGTGAGGAAAAGTCAAATCGTAGAGGACAGAACGCCAGGCTGGAGGGAGTGTGAGCAATCTCATCAGTCCCCTCATTCACCTTGCAGATGGGGACACAGGCCCAGAGAAAGGAAGGGGCCTGTTCAAGATCGGAGAGCTTGAGGAAGAGACCCCTAAATTCTCTTCCAGTTTGAGAGCAACTTAGGGGATGGGGTTCAGGATAGGTGTGCTTTATAGGGGCTTTCAGGGAAAATATCTGATCCACTGCAGAGACTTTAATGGGGGGGTGCTTCATGCAGTGTGTGTGCATGTGCGTGTATGTGTGTGCGTGTGTGTGCGCCAGTGGCATAGGATAGGCAGGGAGAAGTGGTGCCAAGCAGCCAGGGGACTGAGCTGGAGCACAGCCTGTCTAGGCCCAGCTCTGCTGGAATGTCGGACATGGGGACATTGGCACAGAGCAGGGTTTATGGGTTGGTGGATCAAGGTGAACAAGACCGTCAATCTGGCACCCTCTGGAGTCATCCCCTGCAGACCCAAACATCAGCCCACACGCGGCTTTTTGCAAGGAGCCCTGTCTAGAACCTGTTCTGCGGGCGGGTTGGTGAAGACCCAGGTGAGGTCACCGCAGACGTCTCTTGGTTGGCTGCATGAGGCTGTAGATGACACGCAGGGCTGTGGGTGCTCATCTCCTGGGCCTCAGCTCTACCTATAGACTCTGAGCAGTGGCGGTGTTGGAGAAAGGTCACTTGGTGTGGCGGCATGACAGTCCTTCCTCTGGACCCGAGGTCAGAGTGTTTCCAATTCCACTCCAAATGTCACAAGTGGTCCCCTAGATGTCCTCTGGTCCACCCCTCTGTCTCTGGACATTTCCCAGGCAGGTTTAGGCTGATGAGATTACAATGTATATATCCATCCTTTTCTGTGTCTCATGGCCCTTCCCTCTGTCTGTCCCGATTCCTGCCTACTGTATCGGGTCAGGATGGAGGACTCCTCCTGGCTGTTGGCTGCTTGCTCCAGGGCGGCCTGCCTGGCCTCTGCACCCACCTGCGGCCCTGCCCTGTCTCGGGTCCAGACTGGGCTCTGGCTTGGCAGCACGACGAGGCGTGTGCGGGAGCACTCAGCCGGAGCATCGCTCTGGAGATGTGAGCTCCTGGCTGGTCAGCGCGGCTCAGACTCGGTGCCTCGGCCAGTCTCCCAACTCCATCATTTGGCTCAGTTCATTTCTTTCACATGCCCTGTGGTTTTGCTTCTTGTCTCATTGCTCAATTCCTCCATGAAGGCTGAGCTGCCAAGCTGCTGGGCATGGGCGGTCACTGGTCCTTGGGCTTTGGGAGCTGTGCTGGTCTGGGCAGGAAACCTCTTTGGCCACACAACGGTGACTGGGTTTTGGGAAGAGGAGCCAGGCTAAAGGCCTGGGGTGTGATGGAGGGGGCTGGGACCACTCTCCCTGGAGATCCTGGGAGAGAACTCCTGCTCTGGACAGGGTGGGTGAGAAAAGAGGTGGGCTGACCTCTGTGGGTGCTGAGGGGGAAACAACAATAAAACAGATTTAGGGACAGGAGGCAGGGAAGGAAAGTAACTGGCAGGTGGGCAGGAGACACAGCAGTCTTCCTGGAGCACATCTGTGGTTTACGTGGTGACTCCTGACAGTAGTCCCGTGGGTGGGGGTTACTGCACCTGTTTTATAGATGAAGAAATCGGCTCAAAGATGCTGAGACACTTACCCCAAGTGACAGCGCCAGGGAGTGGCAGAGCTGGGATTCAGACTTGTACTATGGCTGCAGCCCAGGCTGTTTCCTCTCCACCATTTCAAACTTTGTTTTCATAGGATTGGCAGGCTCTCCTTGGGGTCACTAAGTCCAGTGGCTTCTAAAATCATCCTCTGACCTTAATTGCCTGGTGACTTGTTAAGACACAGATTCCCAGGCCTTACTCCCAGACGCTGTGATTCAGGGGCTCAGGGCCTGGCATCTGTCTTTTTTTTGGTGAGGAAGATTGTCACTGAGCTAACATCTGTGCCCATCTTCCTCTATTTTGTATGTGGGATGCCACCACAGCATGGCTTAACAAGTGGTGTGTAGGTCCGTGCCTGGGATCTGAACCCACAAACCCTGGGCTGCCAAAGTAGAGCTCACAAACTTAACCTCTACACCACTGGGCCGGCCCCTGGCATCTGTGTTTTTAAGTTACCTTTGGGGATTCTAATATGTAGCCAGGCTGGGAATCAGAGATTTAATCCAACTTCACCAGGGGAAAACTGAGGCCCAGGGAGGTGGGGTGACTTCCTCGATGGCCCACTGCTGGTCTGGAGACAGCCTGGGTGATGCTCTTCCCGCCCCACCTTGCGCCTTCCCTGCCCTGACACCCGAGGGAGCAGAAGAACGGTAAGCCCCAGTCAAGCCAACTAATACCAGGCTGCTTGACATCTGGGTGGAAATGGGGAAATCTATCCAGCTTTTCAGATTCTTATCCGGATAATTACCATTTGTCTCAGAGTACAAATTTGGCAATTAACTGGCTCATTTGGAAAATGTCACAGCCAGCGGCCCATGTGGGTAATTCAGGCCAGGGTAAGATCACAGCCCGATCTCCCCTTCCCTGGGGGCAGGTACACATGTCCAGGTGAGTGCTCAGATGCATCTGCACCTGAAGGCCCTGTCCAGGCCGAGACACAGCTGCTGTGTTACCCCTCTGCTCTCAGAGAAACCTCTGTTCCCCCAAGGCTAGAAGCATTTCAAGGCTGGGTGGCCTACTCAAGGCCCGTCCCAGGCATCAGAGCTAGAGGCACCCAGACCAGTGGGGGAGAAGGGAACAAAGGAGGCATTTAGAGACAGGCCTGGGCAGGGTGGAGGGAAAGAGACAGGGAGGAGGAGGAAGTCAGGAGGGAGGTGAGACAGGGGTGGAGGTGTGGGGATCCAAGGCCCTGATCAGACCTTAGGGGCTTTCATCACATTCCAAGGGAGGTGGGAGAGAGGGAGAGAGAAAGCTGGGGCCTCAGGGGCGGAGGGGAGTATGGGGCAATATAGGGGAGGCAGAATCACGAACTTGCACCATCTGTGAGGTGGAGGGAGCCCGCTGGGCTTAGGTTAGCAGGAGCGAAGGGGCCAGACAATGTCCAGGAAGACACAGAGAATAGCCTAGAGGTTAAGAGGCCACATCATAGGATCTGAGTCCTGTTGTCGTGTCCTGGCCTTACCGCTTTCTAGCTGTGGGAACTCAGGCGAGCTACGTAGTCTTTCTAGGCCGTGGTTTCCGCATCTGTAAAATGGAGGTAACACCACTCCCTCCACAGGGGGCTTTTGCAGGTTAAAGGAGAAAAGCCTGGCGCATGGTAGATGCTCAACAACACAAGTTGGTGTCCTTCCTTCTCCTAGTGTTCCAGGAGAACCTGGTATCTTTGGAGCTTTCCTATGTCATATTATTTCCTATATCCTGCCTTTTCCAGCAGGGAAAAATTGCCAAGAGCTAAACAGATGCTGGATACATCCCCAGAGGTCTCACCCCAAACCCTCCTCATCGCAGAGGTGGGACAGGACTGCTCCAGCAGCACAGAATTCCCAGTCTGAGGTCCCTTGTAAGATCCCGCTGTGTCTTGCAAGTCTGGTCCTGCAAGGCGTGCTGTGGGAGCAAGGTCCCCTCCCAGCCTGTGTCCGACTTCCCTAGTGCCCCACAGAAATAAGGAGACCAGTCTCCCCCCGACTCTGACTGCGTCTTCTGCCCACTGTGCAGACAGCACTTCACCACTGCTGACCCTGCCCTCACACGTTTCCAGATCAGCCGCCTTTCCCTCCTCCCCTCCCAGGGCACTGGCCGAGGCCTCTGGCTCTCCCCTCCATGCCTTGGCTAGCTCCCACCCTGCTCCCTCTCTATCTTACACGGGAGGGACTCCCAGGGGCTGACTCCCTCTGCCCTTGGCCTAGGCTCCTCATTGTTCTACCCCATCGGATTCTCCTTCCTCTGCACTCAGTGCCTTCTTCCTCCTCTTGACCGGTGAATCCATGCTCATCCTGGTAAGACATTTCCTCACCTACAGGCGCCCAGCAGGTCCTACTGAGCACCTCTCCTCAATCCCCTCAACTCCTCTGGTCTTCACCTTCTCTGGTCACCTTCTCCCACTCCCAGGTGAATAGCCCCTTTTTTCCTACCTCCATTCTGTTTTCCCCAGTATCCTCCAAGCTTCCACTGTCTACCATCTAAGCCTCTATTTTGCATCTTCAGTCTAATGTCTTGACCTCCTGGCTTGTCTATGCATGCTTCACTCAGGATCCTGATGGTGTACACAATACGCCTGCACCCCAACACAATGGCACACACTGAACACCACCAAGAGCTCACTTGGTCGTACCTGCTGCTCCCCTCACTCACCTGTGCCCTGCTGGTCTACCCACCACACTGCACTCACTCTCTGAGCCAAGAGTGAATGAGAGCACCCAGCACAGCTCCTGGTCCACAGAAGGTGCCCCTCACAATGGTGATGCTGGGACCACGGGCCAGCGCTTTCTCTGTGCCAGACGCTTTCTGAGAGCTTCACTTCCCTGATCCCAGTTCTCCCACAGCCTCCCTGGGAGGTGGTCCTCCTACCACCTTCCTGAAAGATGGAGCAACTGAGGCATGGAGCAGTTAAGTAACTTCTGAAGGCCACCTGCCTGGAGGTGGAGGAACTGGATTCAAACCTCTGGAGTCCCGGTCCTGTGCTCTGGGTGGGCTCCCTCCTGAATGCCCCATGCTTATTTCATGGAAGGACTGCCTTCCCCCACTCCCACCAGGCCTGGGGTGGGAGGGAATGCACTTTTGTTCTCTACTTCGTGTCCATCAGACCTTGTTCTGGGGATGGGGTGGTGGAGTGAGAAACCCAAGTGCCAATTCCTCCATCCCCTAGCTGGGTTAGGAAGTCTCTGCTACAGTGGGAGCGAGGACTCTGGCTGACCCCTCGAACTCAGGCCTAGCGCAGGAGCTCTCCAGGGATGGAAGATTGCCCGGCTCAGACCCATTGTCCAGCTTCTTGGTCCCTTCCTCATGGCTCAGATCCGCCTACCAGGCCAACGTCTCAGGGGCCTTCCAGGCCAACGGCTCTGCCAGCCTCTGTGTTCTGGGCCCTTGGGCCCATCCTTGGAGAGTGTGAGGGTCGAGTCACTGCCATCTACAGTGGGGTCTTCTCCCTTTGCCCTGCACTCTCCCACCACTGTGTCTATTGACAGCTGGCTCCTCCCCAGCCTTTTTCCAGAGACCAGGCCACATCCCCATCCTCATCTCCTTTCATTCGTCTCTTCTTGACAACTATTTTCCATCTCTGCTGACAACATTTTCCATGCTGTGGGAGTTCCACCCCATTGCTGGCAGGACAGATGCTTCCCGAGAACTTAGAGTCTGCTTGCTGGAGTGCGCAGGAGTGTGGGCAGAGGGGCAGGAGTGGAAATTGGGGCTTCCTATCAGGGACCTGGGCCTGCCTCAGGCCTTCCCCATCTTCTCCACCAGCTCCCTGGCCCTCTGGGCACGTTTTCCAATAAAGTCAGAAAAGCTGTCTCTACCACCAATCCACTCTGCTAGGTGTCTGCAGCAGAGACCCCACACCACCCCTCGGCCTGGTGGAGTGTTCAGGAGGTGTGACGTGTGGTAAAGTCTGTGCCCAGCTGCTCAGGACTCCTTGCTGATGGAGCTCACATTCCCAGTGGTTTGCACCTTCCGCATCTTGACTCTTCTTGTGGGTTCCTCAAAGAACGGCTGGAGAAAGGGGTGGGACTCTGTGTTCAAAATCCAGTGTAACGGGGAGACCTTGAGCACTCCAAGGCATTCTGGGATGCCTTGGTCTTCCTGCCTGGCAGGTGGAAATCACCCCCTTGTCTTCCAAGCCAGAAGGTGCTTTGAGAGCTCCAGTGGGGTGCCTAGCAGAGCAAAAGGGGTGCCTCTCGGCTTGGCTAACTTGAATTGGCCTTAGCTTTGTGCCTCCTCCTTTGTCTCTGTGGTAGCTGCTTTTCAAAGAAGGAAATGTATGGATTTAGGATCCTTCCTAAATGGAAGGAAAGTATGGATACGAGAGCTCATGTCCCTGCGCACTCCTGATAGATCCTCTTCCCAACCCACCCTAGACCCCAACAGCCCATGTTCTCCTCCTGAACGGGGATCCCTAGCATCTCTGCTTCTCGTCTCTCCTCCACCCTTCACTGCTCCCTCGCTAGCCTCTCTCCTGCCGCAGGGGCCCTAGATAAACGTCCCCATCTTGTCCAAACTGCAGACTGCGTTCCCTTTCCCATAAACAGGTTTATAGCTCTGCCTGCCCAGACAGAGTCTCCGCTGGCAGCAACCCGGGCTCCTGTTGCAACACAGGCTGCACGTCATGCCACAGAAACGCTGCACACTGTTACTGCCACGGGACACTCCCTGGGCTGGGCTGGGCTGAGCTGGGCTGGGTCCCCTTTCTCCCCTAAGTCTGAAAGAGGCAGGAGCTTCCCTCCCTCTCCCCCATGGCCCCAGGCCCATTGAAAGGAGTGGGAACCCCATAAATGAGCTTTTTTCCTGCTCACATTGGGTGGAGGGGCCTACAAAGGATTAGCCCTTACAGAGACATGGCTGGAACATCCAGCCCCAGAAACCTGAGTTTACCGCGAGATGGTGTTTACCTGTTGCTGGATCCTCAGTGACTGGCACGGTGCCTGGCATTTCCGAGGTCCCGATGAGTGTTTGCTGAGTGAAGGGCTGAAGGGATGAGTGGGGAGCCCTGCCCAAGTTTGCCCCCTAGGTGGGCCCACTCCCTGATTCTCTGGTCCTCTTCCACCTCCCCCTCCTGACTTCTCCTCCAACCCTGGCTCCTTCTTTGTAGACGGAGCTGTCACTGCAAAAGGAGCAGCTGCAGCTCAAGATCATTGAGATTGAGGATGAAGCTGAGAAGTGGCAGAAGGAGAAGGACCGCATCACGGTGAGCAGCCTCCGGGCCTCTCCCCTGCTGTGCTCTGAACCCACCTGTCCTGCCTGAGAGGAGGCGGGTCTTGGCTCTTGGTCGAGGTCTCAGGCCCATATTTACATCCCATACTTGTTTCTTCTGGGTTTCCCTACTCGCTCTGCCATTCCCACCAATTTGCCTTCTAAGTCTGGGCCAGGCATCCAGGTGGGATCTTTCCCATCACCTAATGTTCATTTTATATCATCCCAGCAAATATAGACCCTAGACTGACCTGTTCTCTAGCGTGTCTTCCAATGTCTTCCAATGTCTGCTCTGCCCACCACACTACCTAGCCACCAAACACATGGCATTTCTCCTTTACTTGTGCCAGTGTGGATAGATGTATGTCTGCCATGGTTTGAGTAATTGCAAATCACAATCTTAAATCATTGACTCTTGACCCTGGCTACATAAATAGCCCATCAATTCGCTTTCTGAATGATGTATGGTTCTGGTTGAGGTATCAGTGAACACAACCTGACTCATGGGGGAACTTCTGGGCTCTTGGAGTTGCCCGAGGCTGGAATGATGGCTCAAGTCAACCCACCAAGAGGGAGGAGCCACAGATGGATATGGATGGGTGGGCTGTAAAACAACCTGGCCATCTCTATCAATAGATGGCATCCCTCAATGCCTTTGAATGAGATTCTTGACCAAATAGGCTGGCTGGGTTGGGGCAGTAGAAATGCCCTGATCTGTGTTGGGAACCTAAAGCTGCACCCCACTGGGGAGGTTTGTCAATTAGTGAAACCCTCCTCCCTCTCTCCCCTCACTCTGGACCCAGAGCTTCACCAGCAGTGAGAAGGATATCCTGGAGCAGAACTTCCGGGACCTGGTGCGGGACCTGGAGAAGCAAAAGGACGAAGTCAAGGCTGCACTGGAGCAGCGGGAGCAGGATGCTGTGGACCAGGTGCAGGTGATTGTGGATGCTCTGGACGAGAGGGCCAAGCTGCTGGGTGAGGACAAGCAGACCAGGGAACAGCTGCACAGCATCAGCGACTCAGTACTGTTTCTGCAGGTAACAAGCAACAACTTCACCATTCACTCCCTCAATCCTTCTATCCACTTTCCCAGACCCTCATTCATTTCTCCATCCATTCATCCATCCACCATCAGCCATCCATGCATCCATCCATCCATCCATCCAAGCTCCATTCCATCTGCCCATTTAATTTTTCCATCCAAGCCATTTTCCTACCTAAAGATGGCACACAAATATCACCTTGTACCACCTTCAGTTGATATGTACTAGCAGTGCTCCAGACTCAGTAAGAAAGAGTTCTGTATTGGGGCCAGCCTGGGGGTTAAGTTCAAGCATTTCCCTTCAGCGGCCCGGGGTTCGCTGGTTCAGATCCTGGGTGTGGACCTACTCACTGCTCATCAAGCCATGCTGAGGTGGCGTCCCACATAGCAGAGCTACAACTCCACAATATGATACACAACTCTATACTGGGGCTTTGGGGAGAAAAAAGAAAAAAGAGGAAGATTGGCAATAGATGTTAGCATAGGGCAATCTTCCTCAAAAAAAAATTCCCTGCTTGTATATTTAAAAAAAAAAAGAAAGAGTTCTGTGACCAATTAGTGGTGCCTGCTTCGGGTATGAGGAAGTGATGTATAAGTGCTGCATATTTATTATTCTTGATCTTGTCTGTCTTTCTATTCATCCACCCATCTTCCATCCGCTAGAGTGTTTTGGGTACTACTACATGCCCAGTGCTCTATTAGGCGCTGTGGAGAATAGAGAATTATAAGACATGGTTTTTGCCCCCAAGGAACTGCAATCCAACTGGGAAGATAAGACATGTACAATTAGAGAACAATATAGAAGAGAGTGTAATTAAATGATAAAGCATATGGTTCAGGAGATAAGTGCCTGTGGAAGCTCCGAGAAGGGCAGCAGGCTGGAGTAATGGGAGACAGCTTTATGGAGGAGGTGGGATTTGAAGTGGGTCTTGAAGGTCCGTAAGAATTTGAGGAGGAGGAGGGATTCTCCAGTGAGGTGGAAGGGAAGTGAGAAGTAGAAAAGTGTAGGATTGAGTGTGGTATGTACAGGTGGAGATGCCTGACCCATGACTGACCCAGAACACTCCAGTAATTCCTTGCATTTCTTTAGTGCTTTCCCTCCCAAAGACTTCACAGCTTGTGTCACTCTCATAAACCCCTGTGAGGGAGGCATGATGTGTCCAGTTTTAGAGATGGGAACCATGGAGTCACATATCTGACTCCTAGTGCCTTCAGGGATGTTAGCATCTAGTGGATTTTAGTCAAACCCTTTCATTTTACAGAAGAAGAAACTAGTGCCCAGTGAGGAAAAGTGGGGCTAGTTAATAGCAGAGCTGCATCTAGATCCTAGCTTCTCTGGCTCCCAGTGGTGAGTCTTCCAGCCGGATTGTGAGAGCCCCCCGCAGAGAAGGGTCCCCATAGCTCCTAAAGACCCAGGAAGTTAATGGCTTCTTTCCTTTCTTGGTAGGAATTTGGTGCATTGATGAGTAATTACTCCCTCCCCCCACCCCTGCCCACCTACCGTGTTCTGCTGGAGGGGGAGGGCCTGGGGCAGTCGCTCGGCAACTTCAAGGACGACCTGCTCAATGTGTGCATGCGCCATGTTGAGAAGATGTGCAAGGCAGACCTGAGCCGTAACTTCATCGAGAGGAACCACATGGAGAACGGTAGGTCTCTTGTGGGCGGGGCCCAAGGCCCTGGACATTTTTCTCCCAGGTCAATTCCTGCTGCCTGGTGCTGGTTGGATTGGTTGGCATCCAACCAGCTGGCGTCTCATTGTTTCCAGTCACTTGTTCCACCTAAGGTGTTTGGAGTAGGATCCAGGGACTGTAGCCCTCCGTTGAACTTGCTGCCAAAGTTATGCAGCTATTACAAGGGGCCGCCAGGGCAAGGAGCATCCGGGCACTGGCTGCACAAATGCCTCCTCTCTGTGGCTTGTCCACAAAACTCAGGGATTGGCTTCATTCAGATCTGTATCTGTTGTCAGGTCCAATCCACAGCTGTGTGAATACTGCCACTTGTAAGGGCCAGACTCCAAACTGGTGGCTTTGCAGGCGTCAGTAGATGTGACCTAGAACTGCATCTGTGCTTGGAGGGAGAACTTGCTTGTCACCATGGTGTGCTGAGCCCAGAGGCTGGACTTGGCCTGGTGGGCTGGGCTGGGGATGGTGGGGCACAGCGTGTCTCGATGACTCACCAGCTCCCCCAAAGTCAGCTTCTCTCCTGAGTCACGCTGTCCCTTGCAAAGGCCAACTGAATCATCTCACAGAAAGCCTCCTAACCTGAGAAACTACCTGGTTAAATCCTTTTCCACCAGTCCCAGCAAAGTCCCTGTAAAGCCTGAAGCCTGGACACTTTCTCTAAGGCCCCACCCACTGGCCCAGGCCCAAGACGGGGCTTTGAGGACACATTCTGATTAATAACTTCTAGCCCCAACAACCCAAAGGAAGTGAGCCTTGTTTTTGGTCTCCAGATGGAGCATGTGATTCTTTGGGGGCAAGAAGAGGGTAATATGTGCAGAAGTACTGGGGTTCAGGAGGGCATCTGTATATCTTGGTGCTGGTGACACTGCACAGTGTCCCTGTGAAACTGGGGGACACTCCATCACACCTGAGGACTGATGAACCATTGCAGCGAGACAGACATTTGGCTTCAGGCGGCACTCGGACCCTGAGCTCCTTGTGATGATGATGGCGATGATACTGACGGTGACGGCTGACGGCGATTGAGTGCTCCTGGGAGGCTGGCTTTGTGCGAGCTCTTCACTGACAGTCTCGTCTTCTCCCTGTGGGATGTATTGCATTTCACAGATGAGAAGGCTGAGGCTCGGAGAAGTAACTTTTCAAAGGGCACGCCACTAAACAGGGAGTGCAGCTAGGTTAAACACTCTGCTAGTCAGCCTCCCACATCTTCTCATCCGAGGAGCTGCTGCTGCTGGCCATGCAGAGGGACCGGGAGCGTGAATACCATGGTCCCTGGGGTACAAACCCACTGGGGAAGCCCCTCAGTTGAGGTCTGGCCAGACCTATGAGGGCGGCGCTGACTGGGCTCGAGAGGCCTGTGAGCCTCACAGGGACCCCCTGCCTGCTGCCCACCCACTGTGCCATTTCTAGGTCACGACTGTGTTGGCCATGTCTTCTGTGCAGGTCTGGCCCTGCACCCTGTACAAGCAGTGCAGGGAGGCGGCCGCCAGGAGCAGAGGTGGGTGCTGCTGATGTCAGCGGCCCTGCACCTGTGCCTGGGGCCTTGGGCCTCCGCGTTGGTTTTTTGTCACTGGTGTGTTGTTGTTGGGAGTGTGTCTGGCTGTAGGAGGTGGGGGAAGGGCAGCGGGTGAGTCAGACCTTGGAGTGACCATCCTCTCCTCCCTGATGCCGGCCTGCCCACCAGACCAGGGGCTCATTCCTACCCTCAAAGGCCCGGGGGCTGAGGGCCCCAGACCACTTTCATCCTAAGGGAGGGGGTTGGCCAACACCTAGGAGGACATTTGCTTGTCATGCCATGCCCACTGTGGGCCAGGGCCCTGCTAGGCATAGGTGATGTAGATGAAAGATGAGAGTCTGAGCCACTCATTCCTCCTCTTGCCCAGGAGAAAGAGAGAGGGAAGGGCAAAGGGAAAGTAGGAGATGGGGAAGTAGCAAGAGAAAGGAATGGTATGGAGGGCGGTGGAGGAAGGCAGCATGGAGTGGCAGATTTGTTTGGGTTGGGGGTCTGCTGGTGGGTACAGGGGAGGGCAGAGTCAGTGCCCCACCTGAGCTCCCTCCTCTCTGCACACCTCTGCTCAGTGGAGGCCAAGGCTGGGACCTCATTTCATCCCCTTGGGCTGCCAGCAGTGTTTGGGTCAGAGCTGGGAAGTGGGGACCAGGGCTCAAACCCCAACTATGCCCTTATTGGCCATGTGCCATTAGGCAAGTGGCTCCACTCATCTCCTGAGCCTCAATTCCCTTACGTGCCACACAGGGCTCTTCACACCAGCCCAAGTGTTCACGTACACATCAAACAAGAAACTGATATCAGTGGCCCTTGTAAATTGCCAAGTGCCATGCACACGGTCTAACTCACAAGGGTCAGTCCAAGGGAGGGTGGATGGCTCACTGCAGACCCTCTCTTGCCCCCCAGGAGCTCAGGAGCAGAAAGAATGCTGAGCAGGATGTTACCTTCTCTGAGGGTGGGGGACTTTGTCTCTTCCTGAGACAGAGGGCTGTGGGCTGACTCAGCCGAGCCCAGGGATGCCCCAGTGGGCCGGCTCCTCTTCCCCATCTGCCCCTCTGCTGACCAACCTCTCTCCTTCCCAGGGAGTGACCATCGCTACATGAACAACTACACTAACAGCTACACGAGCGAGTGGAGTGCTCCAGACACCATGAAGAGATACTCCATGTACCTCACGCCCAAGGGTAAGGGAGAGCATCCTGCGCTGGGGCGCATGGTGCGTGCGAGACTCAGCTGGGTTCCCTGGGTGACTGACCTTCCTCTGTTTGCCTGGAGAAGTCCCGGCATATACCTGTTGTCCCGGTGTAATCGTTACAGCACCTCCTTTTGCTCTCAGAAGTGTCCTGGTTTAGATGACAAATTATCAAGCACCCTGCTCCTCAGAGGCTCCCTCCCCTGTGACACAGGCAGTGCCCGCTGGCCCCCTCACCTCCTCTTTCCTTCCAGAGGCTCCCCTGACTGCTGGTCTCCCGGGCTCCCTCCGCCAGGCCCCAGCTGTGTTTTGCTTCTGCTTAGGATTCTGTGGTCCTGTGGGAGGGCTGGCTCCTCCAGAACCAGTCTGCTCCTCAAGGGCAGGGAGACTGATAACCGGTCTTCTGAATTTCCTCACCACTTCCTTCCTGTGTGTGTGTGCGGGGCTGTGCCATGCAGCCTGGCCCCTCTGCCCTCCCTCTCCACCCCTGCAGAGTCCCAGCATGGGGGTGACAGCCCAGGTGGGGTAGAGACCAGTGCCTGCCTGTCTTGCCCTGCGGTAGCCTGTCACATTCTTGGGCACCAGCAACAAACCACAACAATACCCGTTACATAAGGGTGGGTATGCCAGGCGCACCAGACCCCCGGATGGAGGGTGTGGCGGGGGGGAGAGGAGGAGGGTGACGAGTAGGGGTGGGGGAAGGGGAGAAAGGAGACATGGGAAGGCAGGGGGACTGGCGAGGGGGAGCCTCGAGGCCCACAGCACTGATCCGCATGCCTCGGACACATCCACAGTGGGAGAGGCTTAGAGGATTTGGAGAGATGAGCTCAGCGGAAAGGCACCTCCGCCACCCCACCCAGTCTGAAAACAACACCTGGGCTTCTGGTGGAGGCGTGGTGAGGCAGCTGGGCCCGAGGCCCCCCGCCCCACATTCCTGGTGTGGGCCAGGACCCAGCCTGCCACTCCTGCCCCCTCCCTCCCCAGAGTGCTGCCCTTTGGGCCTAGTTCTGTGTGAGGATGAGCTGCATTAACCAGTCCCCCCAGCACCCCTCACCTTGGCCCCATCTCTTATGGCTCTCCGTGTCCGCTGAGGGCCGGGCCCTGATGTAGCGCTGAGACACAACTGGCATCTGCTTGGCTCCCCTGCTCTGTAGTAGATCGAGGGCAGTGCGGGCTCCTGCAGTAGACTGCAGGCTGTGAGGAGGGGGACTGAGCAGCAACAGGGGTGGAGGAAAGAGCACAGACCTGCCAAGATGTCACCCCCAGAACCAGGGCCTGGTGACCTTGGGCTGGTCCCTGCCCCCTCAGTGTCCCCATCTGAGAAGAGAGGAGGTTGGACTCAAATGCTAGGAGAGCTTCCAGCTCTGTCACTGTGAGTCAGTCTGTGACATTTGTAGGTGAGAGAAACAGGTTTCTCCGGTGTCCCTGCCCCTGCCCTGGGGATGGGAGGGAGGAGGCAGTCTGCCCTCTGGGAGCTCCCAGGCTCAGGATAGAGGCCAGGGAAGGGCCAAGGAAAGTCACTGAGAAGACCAGGGAACAAGGCCACCAAAGGGCCATGGGCCTGAGTCTGGGAGCTTTGAGGTCAGTGGGACTGGGCAGTGGGACTTCCCAGGAAAGGTTAGTTTCCAGGATCCCTGAAGGAGGGGCAGTGTGCTCGGTAGAGAGGGCATGGCTGTGATGGACACCAAAGTGAGAGGGACCACAGATGCAAAGGCTTAGAGGAAGGACTAACAGGTGCTGGGCCAGGTAGGCCAGAATGCGAGGGGGCTGGTAAGGAATGGAGGGAAAGAGCTGATAGGAGGAGGCTGACACACATGGGGAGTGCATTTTCTTCATCTGTAGAGGGGGGAGTATTGATCCCACTCTGCCTTCCTCCCAATGTTATGAGAGCCTGAATGGGGAGAGGGAAGCACCTGTGCAGTGGAAGGCCCCCATACCTGGGGGGAAGCACCTGTGCAGTGGAAGGCCCCCCATCCCTGGGGGGAAGCACCTGTGCAGTGGAAGGCCCCCCATCCCTGGGGGGAAGCACCTGTGCAGTGGAAGGCCCCTATCCCTGGGGGGAAGCACCTGTGCAGTGGAAGGCTCCCATCCCTGGGGGGAAGC